AAACAAGACCATTTAACAGGTAAAGAGACAGATTATTCTATCAAGAGGGCCAAAGCAGGGCAACTGTTTACTGTTTCTGCTTTCAATAGGAATTTATTTTATAATTTTTTAAGTGGTTTGAGCAATCGTTCTATCTGAAGGTCTTTCAAAGTTTTGTTATCTAACTCAACCGAAAGCACTGTATCGAACGGTTCAATATCGATACGAATATCGTTGCACCCCTAATATATATATATATACACTCTTGCAAAAATATCTACATTGTGCAGTTTTAATCAACTTATTGTCTTCTTCTTTGGCCCATTGCTCCATTATTACTGCAACAAGAGCATTAAAACTCCACCTGTGGTCAAAACCTCCCACAATATAGCTTCAATTGTTAATTTGGTATTTGTAGGTTTAAAAGGGCCCTGCTCGAGTAAACGAAAGGTCACCACAGTTATATAACACCAGTGTGTGTGTGTGAGAGAGAAAAACAGAGACACCTTGTACCTTGGGGTGGGACACCATCCGTAAAGTGATATGTGGAAGGAGAAAAGAAGAATGAGAAGGGATAAGGAAGGGGAGCAGAGAGGGAAGAAATGATAGCTAAGGAAAAAAGCAGGAAAAAAGGAAAACCAGAGTCAGGTGAAAGAAGCCTGGAGAGTAAGAGATCATTACATAACAAACTATTGTTTGAAATGGAACATAAAACAAACACAGAAATACCTGATTATAATCAGTGTGGTCCATTCTGAAGAGCACATGTCTCTTAACCTCCACCACACCCTTTGCAATGACCTCAATATGAACAATACATCACGTTTAAACACTGTCCTCAATCTGTGCTGATAATCCTCAGGGCCCCATGAAGTTCTGGTGAGTTATCATTTTCACGAAGGACAAATCCTCATTTGGGTTCAAAAACAATCCAAACAACACTGGAAATGTACTAAATTGCTGACCTGTTATATTCAGCTTTCGCTTTCTATCAGTTATAAAGGCTGATGCGTATAAGGCAGTAGTCACTGCGTGGATAGGGGCCAAATCTGACTTGAGGTCTGGGGAGTGTACCCTCAAAAAACATTGTATTGTATTATAGTGCTCTGTTTGTTTGCAGTTTCAATGGCAGATTTTGTTTCAGATTGGTATGGGATTTTTTGAATGCTGCAGTCTTAAATATGATCAATCTATCAAATTAATGTTCTGCATACCACAGGTCTTTAAACGTGTCAGTATTCCATTCCAGTGATCCATTACTTAGAAAAACATCACTTGACCCAGCTGTCTTAGCTAATTATAGGTCAATCTCCAAATTTCCTTTAATCTCAAAAAATCTTAAGAGAGTCAGAAGAGGGATGGTTTATTTGAAGAGTTTCAGCTGGAATTCAGAGCACATCACAGTTCAGAAACAGCTTTAGTGAAGTTTACAAATGATCTTCTTATGGCCCCTGGCTGTGGACTCATCTCTGTGCTTGTCCTGCTTGACCTCAGCACAGCACTCAGTACTGTTGACCATAACAGTTTATTAAAGACATTAGAGCATGCTGTAGAAATTGAAGGTATTTAACAGACTTATGACACACTAAGGTTAATAATGGAGTTCCACAGGGTTCTGTGCCGGGACCAATTCTATTTACACTATACATGCTTCCCTTAGGCAGTATCAATAGAAGGCATAGTATACATTTTCACTGCTATGCAGATGATACCCAGCTTTATCTAACCATTAAGCCAGATAACACATATCAATTAGTTAAACTGCAAGAATTTCTTAAAGACATAAAGACTTGTTGACCTCTAATTTTCTGCTTCTAAATTCAGATAAAACTGAGGTTATTGTACTCAGGCCTAAAAGTCTTAGAACCATCGTGTGTAACCAGATGCTTACTCTGGATGGCATTACTTTGGCCCTCAGTAATACTGTGGGGAATCTTGGAGTCATTTATGACCAGGATATGTCCTTCAATGCACATATTAAACAAACGTGTAGCACTGCTTTCTTGCATTTGGACAATATCTCTAAAATTAGAAACATCCTGTCACAGAGAGATGCTAAAAACTAGTTCATGCATTTATGGGCTACTGAAATTCATTATTACAAGGTTGTCCTAAAAACAACCATCACAATCCATACAATAGCTGTAGAGACATCACACACAAAAACACTTTCACTAACGTCGGTCGGCTTTATCGTTATGCCAATTTAAAAGGCGTTTTGAGATATTTTTAGGTGAATCTAAATCATGGATGACCAAGCAGTCCATAGGGCATTTAACCATAACAACAACTACTACTACTACTGGTACTAATCCTACAAAACAGATGACTTGCTGGGTTCACTTAAAATCTAGCCAGATCATGGGACAGGTCGGAGTTGCAGCACACACACATTGTGCACCTCTGAAACAATGAACAGGGTTTCTCTTGCCATGCTGTATTTCAATCTGTGTCTTAGAGGAGAAACAATCTGGGACAGAATGAGAGGGATGAAATGAGACAGGCAAGCCTGAGCAATCATGGCGGAGTGAAGAGAAATATCTGTTTCATTCCCACTTTGTGTGTGTGGTGTGTGTGGCTGCAGTGGGTTGGCTGGATTTGGCCTCACTTGAACTACATTTGTTAGCAAGAGAAAAGGGAGCTGTGGTTATGTGTGTGTGGTGTAGTGTGTGTGTGTAGTGTGTGAGTGTGTCTGTGTGTGTGTGTGTGTGTGTGGTGTGTGTGTGTGTGTGTGTGTGTGATAGCTGCAGGGAGTATCTTGAGGTGTCAAAACAGCCTTTATAGTCACTTGTCTTTTTCCCAGTTTCATCTCCACAAAAATACACATTCTCAAAGATAGGCATGGATCTCTGCATGTATTTCATGCTCAAGGATGTCTGCAGGTGGATCATACACTGTGTGTGCTGTTTGTTTATTGATACTGAAGCTGCATATATTCACAGAACGTTCATGGATCTTAAAATAAGTGCATAATAACTCAGTTAGATGTAAATTGGGTAATATTACAGATTCTATTTAGTGCAAAAAAATTGAAAAGGATTTCACTTACTCTAGCTGGCCCTCTGGATCAGCCTGTTCAGTCTCTTCCTGTCCCCAGCAGAGATGCTGCCACCCCAGCAGACCACACTGTAAAAATGGCTGAGGCCACCACAAATCATAGAAGGTCTTCAGGAGTGGGCCCTTCACTCCAAAGACCTGAGTCTCCGCAGCAGGTACAGCCTGCTCTGCCCTTTCCTGTAGAGGGCGTCTGAATTATGAGTCCAGTCCAGTTTATTGTTCAGATGAACACCAAGGTACCTGTAGCTGTCCACAGCCTCAATGTCCATACCTTGGATGTTCAGTGGTTGCAGTGGAGGATGTTTGTGCCTGCGGAAGTCTACCACCAGCTCCTTGGTTTTACTGTGTTGATCTGGAGGTAGTTCAGCTGGCACCAGTCCACAAAGTCTTGGGTCAGTTCTCTGTACTCCTTGTCGTCCCCATCAGTGATGAGGCCGACTATTGCAGAGTCATCAGAGAACTATATATATTATATATATATATATATATATATATATTATATATATATATATATATATATATATATATATATATATAATATATAATATATATAATATATATATATATATATATGATAATTATTATATATATATTATATGTATATATATATATATATATATATATATTTGTGTGTGTGTGTGTGTGTGTGTACTTAATTACTGTGGTGTAGTATGTATGGCAACTGAGGAAGTCTTTATCAGTGGTAAAACTTTCACATTTTCTGCAGCCATCCAGTGGGCCAGATTGGAGTCTGTGTTGGGCCACTCCTGGACCCCAGACCTTATATTTGACACCCCAGATCTAAAGCCCTAAATGGGTCGCGTAGTCTTCTTCTTTTCTTCCTTTTTGTTAATGAGCGAATAACAGACTACAACTTTGTTTTGTGGGCGTGTTCTTTTTTTGGACGTCACGTGGGCGGGGCTTCTCTGAATATTCATCAGCGAGTGGCTGAGGCGGCGCACGCGAGGAGAGAGCTGGAAGAAGCGCCGACGTCTCAGCGACACGCAACTGGAGGAGGATGTGAAAATTTGACATTTGTCAGCGCTGACAGTGAGAGAGAGAGAGAGAGCAGCAGCAGCTGGAGTCACACACAGGCGGTGCGAGGCCGTGTGAAAACAAACTGCCCGCTTTTTAATGGTCTGACTTAAAGACGCGCACAGCTGTCCATCCGTCCGGTGAGCTGCAGACAGACGCAGGCAGTCATGATGGACTCTATCTTAGACAGTTTAACAGCGGAGAAACTCTATCCGTCCGGAGGGACCAACCTGTTGGACCTGGAGGAACTCAGCGACGGAGATTTTCTCACTAATGTGGTGAGGCTTTTTTTTTTATTACATTTGTATCACCGCAAACTCTTAGTGCTCTTTCTCTTTCTATCTTTTTTTTTCTTGCCATCTACGTTAAAATCAAACGCACCTACACTGCCTGTTCCGCCCGGAGCCGGACCTCAGGAGGGCGGTGTAGCTGTTAGATCCTGACAGACATCCGGGGCTCGTAACCTGTGCTCATAACCCCATGTGTGTACGTGTGTAGGGGTGTGTGTGTGTGTGTTTAATTGTGTAAACTAATGTGTTTACGAGATCGGGAACACACACAGGCTGGGGTGTTACTGGTTAACTTGCGTGTGTGTGTGTTCAGCTGGCAGATGTTGCAGCATTCACCAGCACACCTGACTATTAATTTAGTTTGTGTGAGTGTGTGAGTGTACTAGCTCTTTCACTACAATCTCAAGTGTTTTTATTTCATTAAAACTGAATCATTTTATAAAGAAAAAAGAAAATAGTCTTTAATCCCTCCTTTATTGTAATCTACCTAATTATTGTATTTATCTCTTGATGGCTTCATCCGATTTCCAATCTGTCTTTTTATGCAACCTTGTGGAATCATCAGTGATAACCCTAACCCCAATTCTGTGCTATCACTGTATTTTTTATTTGTATTGTTATTCTATTTATTTAATTTTTTGGCAATCTTTCTGATTTAAAAAAACCCCAAACAAACATTTTTTGCTTCTCAGAAACATGGGGTTAGGATTGGGGCTGGTCATCATCACTCATGGCGACTTAAACCCCCGCACACCTGCGAGTCCAACGGCACTTGTTTCCCTCGGTGCTCTGAGCACATCCCCATCCTTGCAGAGACACCTCGTCTGTCACTATTACAAACAACAGGATGTGGCTGTGTAGAATCATGGTTGTTCATCAGTAGCACCAACAGTAGATTTCTTGATATAGCAAAAGTGCTGCAACAGCAAGCCAGGATTTGATAAAGAATCAAGGGTTCAAATTGCTCCATGGATAGTGAGTCATTGTTATGTGGAGATTGTCTGTTTAACGCTGGCAGCCGAGCTCGTGTTTCTGGTTCTGCACTTTTTTTTAGCCACACTGTTGAATGTAAACACAGTCAGAGTTAATAGTGATGAGAGGATCGATAAAAGCCTGTGAGCATGGCGGGACGCGTTCATCCTCGCCAAGTACAGTGAATGTGCGCCGTGCTCCAGAGAGTTCCTGCACCCTTCTCTTTAGGGACTTAATTGCTGCAAACCACAGAGGGCAGACTCTGTTAAGAGCAGCATCTTTTGTCTTTGTTTCCCTTCATTCGCTCACTCTTTTTCCACTTTGTGTCATCCCCACTTTTCTTTTTTTAAACGCCACAGGTTTTTTAGGCAGACCTCTATTCTAGTCGGTGAGTCAGCCGAGCAGTCTGCTCGTGGTTTAAAACCCCACAACACTGTTCTAAATAAAGTAGTCCACTCTGCTGTGAAGCCACTAGGCTGGGCTGCACCACAGAGGACATGGGAAAGGATGGCTGATTAACTGAAATTTCAGTCTCTCTCAAGTCTGCAGCATGAGCTGAGAGTTCTGCATGCCGTTGGTTCATTTTTCCTTTTATTTATTTAGCTTTTTTTCAGGTGTATATAACTCTATTACTTTTCTGTAATTAATGAGTTCTTATTTAAACCCACACTAATGTGCTTTTTTTTGTTGTTGTTGTTGTTTTTTGCTTTCCTACTAACCATCGTAGGAAATTGCATATTTACTCCTTTTTGGCTCCATTTTAGTCTCAACCAACTTAGTTGCAGTTAACAAGTCTTTCATGTTACTTGTTGTCTTTTTATTCTCATTTAAAATAAAAATTACAATTCTTCTATGTTTATGTACAGAATTGTTTGAGATTGTGGTTTGTGCAGAGATGAGCAGAGAGCTCTGTTTTTATATATATATATATATACATATATATATATTTTTAAGTGGCATTTATTACCACAATGGACAAGTTTTTAATAATGTGTTAAAAGCTGGACGACTCACTGCTTGGATGCAGGGAGACCTCAGCTCTTTGGTTTTTAATAGGCTGTGCACTGTGGTCCAGTCCAGCAGGGGTTTAAACATTTTTTGTTCTGCTTTTTATTTACCTTTTTACAGTATATAGCTTTTAATAGCCAGTGGGTACAAGAAATAGGTGTGGGCAGCAAGACAAAACAAAAATCGATTGTCAGCTAATGGGACAATTTACTGCAAATTACTGCCCGTGAAATGAATTTGCCGGGCCTGACAAAGAGCAGAGTGCGACCAAATATGAGCACAGACGTGGAGTTTTATTGATTTATCATTTTGAACTCATATAATGCGATCGTGACGCAAGCAAATTCCTCAAATTTCCAAACATAAGGTGTTTGTACAAGAAACCCTCCTCAGCTCTTCGTCTGATGACTGCTGAATAATAACAAGAAAGAAAAATTAAGACACACGTAAGCATTAAGTGCGAATCACTTTAAAAACACAAGAGGCACGGTTAAACAGGAGTGTCCTTCGGCTACTGTTAAACCTTTACAGATGCTTTGATCATGCGTAGAGAGCAAAAATTACCACCTGCCAGCAACTCATAAATGTTCTCCTTAATCCTAAAGGAAATGAGATTGGAGGCACAGCTAATTATTTTCTCAGAATGGATTAATGTGCCTTTTATTTTATTTTGTAGTCATATGACCCACAGCCACATAACGCAGGGGTAACGAAGTTGTAACTATGGCAACAACAATGCAACCTGTTAACAACTTCAAGTATGAATAAAGAGAAGTAAAGCCATTGAAGTTTTTTATTTTTTT